GTAGCTATGCTGCATTAACTTGAATGGTCAGGAAATGTTATTGAAGAGTCACTGAAAGAGATGAAATCAGCAAGCCTGGGATTCGTTTCTAAATGTATTGCTTCACTGAAGCTTCCTTTAAAGAAAATGCTAGGCAACTGTGCCAGTACAGCATTTTAAGTAGGTAAGACCATCAGAAATAGAACTGGAAGACAGTTCTTCAAAATAATAACCCAGATTAGACTTAGTGAGATCCTGATGAAACATTTCTCAAAATCCAGTCTTCTTTCAAAGGTACGAAGAGTAATTTAAACAGAAACAAAAGTGGCTGATTTTTATGTTTCATTCCATGAACTGAATATTATTTGGGTCACATCTGTCCACTTAAAGTATGCTATTTAATGTGAAATCTGCCGATAAACATGGTTTATTGTTTGCATGGATGCCTGTAATGCTGTTTTGAAGTTGCCTCACAATTATCTTAAAAATACCTATGTACTGCTTGGCAAGTTATTGCAAGTTGTCTTGAAGAAATAAAAAGAAGCACTTCTTACCACAAGCTACTGAAAACCTAAGTAGGATATTCCCCTCCACTCTCAGTTATAACAGATAAGATAAATATATAAAAGTAATGGGTACATTGCAAAATAATGCTTTTCATTATTTCATTTTTAACACGTTATCTAATATTATAGGACAATTTTATGAACACCCTTTTGTTAAAAAAAACCATCATCTTTGAAATATGCTATATTGCAAGATAGGTACATTGCTTGCAACAAAAATCAAAGTCAACATAAACCAGAGATTCAACCACCTGGAAAAGAAATATGGAGAAGGATTTTTCCGTACTGTCACAGCTTTCTAACCTGCTTGGACTCTAAGCATCAATATGTCATCTCATTCCCAGAAAATTGCCCAAAATCTTGCAAGTTCACTAAAACCTGCATGATTTTATTAAGTAAGACTACTAAAACTACAAAAGAAATTGAATGAAATTTCAGCATCCTCACTTGAGAGTTCGGCAATGTTTAGAAAATGCTTTTCATTTAATTGTTAGGATTTCTGGAAGTTTGTGTGTATGTGTGTGTGAGAGAGAAATGAATATTTTGGAATATGCTATGCAGAGTTGCCATTCTGGGGTCAGCCTTTTTTCCCCTTGAAACATGAGTATTCTTTTAAAGAAAAGAAACTTGAGTATTCTTTTAAAGAAAAGAAACTCCACAATTGTAACTTGTCCCATTGGTCAGCAAAGAAAAATGTCTCTCTTTTTTTAAAGAAATGGAAGATTTGTCCAGTCAGAATCTCTACTCCCGAGCTGCTTAGTAGTAGCTTTTGTGTGTCTGTGTGTTCAAGACAATAACATAAAAATACAAATATTTTTATTCATAACAAAGAATATAAGGAATGTGCAGCATACCAAAACCTCACCAACCAAAGAGAAGTACATAAAATAGGGAGAAATATTTCAGTGGATTCACCAGCTCATTGAACCAGAGGAAAAGATAATATCTGAAAATCAAAGTAGTTCATTGAAATGCAAAACCTGTCAGAGGAAAAAAACACACCAATGCAAAGAAGTATGGGGAGAAGAATAGCAATAGCAATAAGACTTATATACCGTTTTATAGTGCTTTACAGCCCTCTCTAAGCAGTTTACAGAGTGAGCATATTGTCCCCAACAATTGGGTCCTCATTTTACCCACCTCGGAAGGATGGAAGGCTGAGTCAACCTTGAGCCTGGTAGGATTTGAACTGCCAAATTGTAGGCAGCTGGCTGCAGAAGTAGCCTGCAGCACTGCACTCTAACCACTGAGCCACAGAGGCTCCTATGGTGAATGGCAGGTGTAGAAAAAGCAAACAAATTAAACATCACTGTTAAAAGCAGTCAATATACACATAAATGGTCTACAAGTGTTGGACATGGAACTTGATTCCAATTCTCTATTTAGTCATGAAATTCACAATTGATTCTGAGTAAGTCAGAATCTCTTAGCTCAGAGATGCATAGCTCAAACTCCCTGAACAGTGTTATTCTTCTAAAACCTCTAAAACTTAACATGTAACTAACTGCCACATAACCTCAACAGTTATCAAATTGTATGACTGAAGGGTGAAATTGTTAATTGAGACTGGAGGATAATAATGACATTAAAATGCATGAGAATGAAATCAGATTTAGTCTTCATTCTAACCATCATTTTTTCCAATGTGACTGCCAAATCTGCCAAGAAGAAGTTCCTAAGGGGACAATCATAAAGGCTACTTGTATTAATTAGTTTAAAGCTTGTTCTACATCATATAATATATTCCATCTTTTTCTTTGCAGGAATTATAGAATAGAAACCTTGCTTAAAAATATGTTATTTTCTAGCATGCCTATATGTGTGTGATGAATTTCTTTTTTAAAATATCTAATATGATCACGCTTAACTGAAATTCTTTAATTTTGCATAAAACTAATTATTATAATTAGGAAAGCAAGCTACAGCCCCTCTCTTTTGTTCATTGCTGAAAGTAATTCTGACATGTTTTGATAGAACCTAATCCTAGCATCAGAATACAAGCAGGTTTTTACACTCATACACGCCTTACTCATCAGTGTAGTTGAAGTGATGGAATAAAAATCTCACATAATTTTTTAACTCCTCCTCTATGGAGTTTTCAGCCATTTCAACATTATTATGACAAATGATTAAGTGGTTTAACTGTTTAAACATACTTTCAATGACCATTTTGGGGGGATACTTATTGAATTGGGCTGGATTCAACTTGCTTAAAATGGCAGGTGAACAAGCACATAATATATACTAATCTGAAACTAAGCATCCTTGATTATAGCTGAGAATGATATGCGAATTCTGTCAGTACCTTTCAGCCCTATCATCATCTTTTAATGACCCCATAAACCCTTGCGAGGTGGAATCTGGGCAACTGAATGGAGCTAGCAGTGTTTAATGGCCAGATGCCCTTCCTGTCGCCAATGTGGTGTTATATTCAGCAGACATGTTCAGCAAATATATATTGGTTGAAAGTGGTGTGGTGACCTAGCGGTGGAGATCTTGCCTCACAATCAAGAGCCTGTGAGTTTGATCCTAGGTAGAGGCAGATATTCCTCTCTCTGGGCACAATGAGATCTACTGAACAAAACTCTGTATTGGCAACCTTTCAGCCCTATCTTTTTTCTAATTCCAGATCTGGAGAAAGAAATGGGACTTTTTTCAAATAACATAATTTATGATTTGTCAGTATGTACATCATACTGGAATTACGGATATAGGTGTAGGCCGTGCTGCTCATAAATCATGATCACATGACCAAGGGATGCAGCAAACAGCCATAAATGTGGGCCTCTTTTCAAGCGCCCAAAATGTGATCGACCCGATTGCGGTAGGCAAACCTTTCCAAAATCTTGTCATGAAAACTGCAGAAATTTGTACAGACAATTGCCAGAAATCAATACTACCTGGGAGGCACCATACATACATTAAAAAAGTAAGTTGATTGTAGACTTTAGAAGGAAATCTAAAATTATTTGCATCTTGAGGGGCGGACTAATGTTCTTGAAGTCAAAGAGATGGGGGAAAGGTACTCTTGTATATCACATTCAGAAAGCAATCAGAGCATATTTTACCCTGCTTTTGACATGAATCTAACTAAAATGGATTCCCATCACTTAAGGAGTTTTCTTCTAAATTAATGTGCACAATACAGAGATGTGAACCTAGCTCTTTTAGTTAAAACCTATGCATGCGATTAAAAAAATAATTCCCACCATTTCAACAGAACCATATTTGTTTAGCTATGGCTTCTCAAAAAACACCCCACCCCGCCACAATTGACTGCCCTCATATAACATAATAGTATACAAAATGTATGGCTGGATTCACGCAACACACTAACTCTAAACAAGCAGTCTGACTTAATTAGACTTAGTTCTGTTACTTTCAGGAAATAGTGCCCATTGGATGATTATGAGAAGGCTTCAGTAAGGTAATTTCCACCTCTCTTGAAGATGGAAACTTTTCATTAAGGGAAACTGGAGGAGGAGCTTCACACCCTTCAGGGTTTCTATTCCAGTCACAATCCTTTCCAAGGAAAAAAGAGCAGACTGGTTTCCCAAATACTCGTTCTTTGGAATTTTATTTCTCGGAGGTGTACTTTCCCTTTAAAAAAAAAAAAAAAAACCACTTTCATGGTCTGGGTTCAAGGATTCCGGAACAGGAACTTTTCTCCGGTCCTGGCCCTTCCGCAATTGGGTCGTAAACACCCAGAGGCTACGAGACACCTTATTGTGTTTGTGTGTTACTTACAAGAGGAAACGAACCGGCGATTTCTTTGCTCCAGGTAGAACCGGTTTTAGACAAAGCAGCCACCCAGCCTCCTCTCCTCTCCTCTCCCCTTGCGCCTCCGAGTACTTTTCCTCCTTAGGCGCTTTCGGCTTTTTTTTTTTTTTGTGAGAAAAATCTTATGAATGACAGGACGCGCGGAAATCCACCCCCCTTTGTTGTTGACCCCAATGACCAACAATGGCAAAACGGGCCCAGGAAAACGCAGGACGCAGCTTAAGCTGCATCTTTTTCCGCCCAACCCCTCAAACCGGGAGATACGCTCGCTAACCGGATAAAGGGGAGACGGACCAGAAAGAAAGCTTGTTTACATCCGCACGGTTCGAAGTAAATAAGGCAGCTTTCAAAACGCGCAGAGGGAAAGTTTTGTTTTGTTTTTTTTTACTGTGTGAAGAGACGGCCCACCGAAAGCTAAGAAGTCCCGGGCAGGGCTTAAAATGGAAAGAAAAACGGAAGCAGATTTTCTAGCTATAAACTATAAAGAAGTGGGAGCGGGGGAGAGAGAAAGAAACTTTGGGGGAACCGAGAGGAAAGAACTTGGGTGTTAACGTGGCTTGGAGAAAAGGCAAAGCAATACAGTCAAAACAAAAACCCAAAAAAAGCGCGTCGGTGAAAAGTTGCGGCCTCGGCCGCTTAGCGGGCGATATCTTATAAAGGCAAAAAGAAACTTACGAAGCCCCCACCGTGATCAGCTACGGGCTCCGAGCGCCTCGGAGCAAGACCGAAACTCCGACGCGTCACCCAGGAACAGAGCGAACTTCCTGCTGAGCCTCCGCCGCCACCGCCGCCATGTGATCCGCCGCGTACAAGCCCTGCCAGCTCTCGGCAGCTGGGCTAGCAGGGACGCGGATCTCGGCCTTGCCGCCCTCCCCGCTGGCTTCCCTGGTTCCCCGACGGGCTCTTTTCTGACCGTCCTGGTCGGAGAAAGAGGGCAGATGGGCTTCTTCTGGCAGCTTTCCCCTCGCCCGTCTTCTTGCCTCTGGCTGGGCAGGGCGGTGCAGGGAAACTTTTCCCGCCCGTCCCCCCTCCGGGAGAAGGAAACAACAACAAAAAAAAAATGGCAGGAAGAACCTCTGCCCGTGGCTTGCCCGCTTGCCCAAGCGCACCTAACCCCACTGGGCGAATTGGGCTGTTGCTGGGCTCCGACCCGGTCGCTGCACCGCCTAGCGAGAGGTTGAAGCTGACGACAGGAAGGTCGTCGGCCTGCGCTCCTCCTTACGGCTGCCTTCTCCGTTTCTCCTATGAGAGAAACTGTTCATTCCCCCTTCGGCCTCTAGGAGTACAAGGTCGGGGGACCACCCGGAAATCCTCCACTCTTTCCCTAGGCAATATCAATATTGATTATCAGTATCAATATTATATCAATAATATCAATATCAAGCAATCAGAAAAGCACCCTGTAAGAAAGCACAGCATTATAACATTGTATGCAACACAAAGTATTCAGGAAAAGTCCAGCATTTTAGTTGAACGGTTTGCAACACAATGTATTCAGGAAAAGTCCAGCATTTTAGTTGAACAGAGGCCACTTTATCATCCGGCTTGGAAGAGCCTAGCGTAACTCTGTTCCATATCCAAAGAACAGCAGGAGGCAGTGATCCAAGTATGTAAATCAAGCAGTATCTTAGTTACTAATTTCTAAGGTAAGTTGCAGTGAAGTGCTCACCGTAATGGACATCTAAGAACCATGCATATTTAGAAGATGTTGCTTATCCTGACTGTTATTTGCTCCACCTATCCTATCTAGGCTATAAAAATCTGGATGAGTACCGGATAGCAGACAGTGGGTAGATGTTTCTGTTATCTCTGCTACCCTGGAACAATTGTTGGAGTATTTGCAGCCTGAACACCTGTCCTTGCCTCAGTTTTATGGATTTGGACCTCCTATTGAACTAAAACTTGATACCAAACATACTGAACCCCTTTGGAAGTAGGGGTTGCACATCATACTAGGTTTAAGATATGGCTGACTATGATTTAGTGGGTTCTGCAGATGCAGTTTCAAAGATGAACATTTATGAGACAAAACTATTCACATTTTCAGTATTTTCCATTAGCTAACTAGTTTGGTGGCTGATAGTGGCTTGTTATACTTTCATAAACATTTGGACAGTACCTTGTATAAAGCTTTTTTTATTATATTGGTGGCTAAATATTTGGCTTCTGCAACAGATATGTAAAAAAATAAATGAATCTGTGATCACCAATAAAGCTAATAATGCAGTATTTGCAGGAAGGAGGAAAACAGATGGATCACAGACAGATTCGGTTGGAAATAAGGGAACTGTGCTCAACTTCCATATATATTTGCAGCCTACCTTGCTTGCTGCAACAGAATCCTGACAAAATAAAGCCCATCTTGATTGGCAGATCCTATGGTGGAACAATTCTGCTCTTCTGTGATCTAAAACCATTACTCCTGTTTTACTGACGAAAACAGGAGGTTATAGTTGATGCCATTAGAACAAACAAGACCATATATAAATTTTGGAAATAATTCTTAACAAGGAAGAGAATACCACAATTTTTACCACAGAAAAAACTATCCTCTATCGAAGGGTGTAGATGCAAAAAAGATTTGGTGTGTTATCGCAGAGCTGCAATGTCTGGTACATTATATATAATTATGCATTGATATAATGATTATGTATATTACTGTACAAATGTTAAGGCACTAAAATGTAGCCTGGAAAAAAAAATCAAAAGAATTTTAGAATGTATGAACTAACTATGTAACAGGTCCATTTTGAATAAAAAGCGATCAGCAGATTATGTGAACATTACAAGCAGATTACTTGCTTTTTAATTTAGACACTTTTAGACATAGAGAAATGAGAGAACTTTCAAAGCCCAAGAATTCATTTTTATCCCTTACCAACATGGGACACTTCAGATGAGCCTTTTCTTGTATAATTACCCTACCTTAAACACAAAATTGTTTTAGCAAATCTTGTGATATTGTCCAAATCAATGGGTGGGAGACCTCGTTCTGCTGAGATGGAAAAATCATATTCCCTTAGTAATAATTGAAAACTGGCCTAGTTGTTCCATGCTTTAGACATTCACTTATATCCACATGGAAGAACTTTTCTATTGTATCGTTCTTTCTTTGAAACACTCTCTGCTTTAGAAATTGAGCACGTGCCAACTTTGCTATGGTTGAATAGCAATTGCTGTGAAATGAAAATCTGTTTATTTACTGCCAGCATTTGAGAGCTCACGATGGCATAGCTGAACTAGTTAACAGCCATTGTTTTATTATTCTTGCATTATTTTGATAGGCTTAACCACATTTCTTAAGATTTTCTTCAGTATCAGAAGAAGCACAAAAGGTAACAATATTTAAAATACATTTTTAAAAAGCTGATTGCTGGTTTCACAGAACTTCCCTGTTTGTGGATGGTACTCCTGTTACCATAGTTTTTTTAAGTGCTACTCAGGGGTACGTTCCTCTGTTCAGGGAAGTATAATTTCCAAGTTACGTTTAGGGGTGACTGCAGGTTAATTTTTTTCTAGGTCTATCTGTTCCTGTCCATGCCCATCTTGTTTTTCATGTAGCAAAACAAAAAACATTTACTGTGGGTGACAACTAGATTAAATCTTTACTTGGGTATAATTTAATACTGGGAAGTTTTCTAAAGAAACAAATTTGAGTAGCACGAGAAATGTTTCTGCTTCTAATGGGCTGAGCCTACTGTATTTACCGCATATTGATGTGGTCAATATTGAAATACAGTTTCCTTACAGATAAAACTAAGTCACCATTATAAAATGTTTACAGTTTATTGTGCCCAGCATGATAATATCTGAATAACAACAACAACAATAAGGCAACTTTCCTTGGAACAGCTTACATCCTGCAATGATATCTAACACTATCAAGCATCCACATTTACCTATCTCAGATCCTTGGAAAGGTCTCAGTAGGTAGACAAAAATGCCAAATCCAGTCTGAACATCTGGCTGACTGTGTGACAAATCATAAATTAATAATCTATTAGTTTATGTGTTTTGGATTAGTAAATGTTTGCATCTCGATTTAAGGGAAGAAGCTGAGAAAATTCCTGTTACAGATGGAAGATAGCTAGGAGAAGGAATTGGTATCTTCCTGAACAGAAATACAGTTTTAAAAACATGTATTAATTTTAGCATTTTGGTTTGTTTTAACAAGTTGTGATGCTTTTATTTTGGGGGATGTTAAGGAACAGTCACATGTTTTTTATCAGTAATTCCAATTGCAGAGTTAATATTTTTATTGCTTATAAAATTATGAAAGGACAGAATAATCTCAGATAGCCCAACTATAATTATTTACACCGAAGCATGTAGAGGAAGTAGGCACTAAATGTAAAGTGAATTATAAAACTCACACCCTTTTTAATACATGGATTTGATGCAGAGTATATACCTTCTATCTTAGCAACATCAGTCTTTGCTTTCCAGAATATTGAAATCATTTGGCAACGCACCTTTTTAGTCTGCTTCCATGCCTGTTTTATTATCAGAAAGTTTTCTCAACAGGAGCTTAGAAATACAGTACTATCTTGTTCAGCTAATGACTGAGGTTAGCTGGGAACTTCCACTGAAAAATCCCCTACATGATACTTCCTTGTACATAGCCACAGAGAGCTGATCATTATAATTTGTACTCTCACTAAATCAGAATTTAAAGTGAAAACAAAATGTAAACTAGGTGTAGAACTCTAATATCCTGTCAATAATTCCATGTAAAACTTCTGCTCTGTGGATGTGAATTGAAAGATGGAGGTGTTGAATGATTTTTAATTGGGAGAGACTCAGGAGTATTTTGTAAGGCTTATTTTAACCAAATGTATAGATTATGAAAAATAATCACAAACGTTTTCTGGAGGAAGATGCGCAGTTTGTTCACATTTGGGAGGCTACATACAGACTAGGTGTATTTTTGTTGATAAAAGTTTTGTGCTGAAAGGAGTTGCCATTTTCAATTTTGAAAATGGTGTTGCACACTCTGAGCCATTTTTTTGTGGTGGAATTTGAGCCACTATGTAGCTGTAAATCAGGTGGAAAATTTGAATGGTGCATGTTCTGGATAATTGGAATTTTCTGTAGCAAAGTTATGTATGAACTTTTAAATTGGTTGTACAATAGCAAATGAGTAGTTGTTACTGCTTAGCTAAAAGCCTTTGCAATTTTTCAGAGTAAAAATGCTGATATATAACACTGATGTGTACCGTTTTGCAGAACAACATTAGAATGTAAAATACAAATCCAGTTACAAATTTAAAATATCAGTTAATCAAATTATAAACAGATAATCCAGTAGATTTACCCTAAAGCAAAATCTCAAACAACTATTTTAAGAATAGCTTTTTGTGTGAATTTGAGCAGCAGCAATTAAAACAATAGAGCTGCTGTTAGTATTTTTATTATGTTGGCCAATAAGAAAACTGTTTTTTTTTTCTAGAAAAGACTTCTCACTTATATGAGTTAGAGTGACTTAAGAAAAACTTAGTACAAGTTTCCAGAACAAAGGACAGAATTAAAGATTACAGGGAAAGTTTATTAACGGCAGGGATCCACAAATACACAGCCTGCACCAACTATATCAGTTGTACCATCCATCATCATGGTAGACATAATTCATAAACAGATGGCTGTAAAAGTTTGTCTACACTTAGCCAAATGTGGAATGATGATACAGTCTATTTTATATAGGTTGAACCATTCAGAGAAAGTAAATTTAAAGTCATCAGCAAAGCTGATAGTGTTTGGTCAAACAGTCTTGAAGATGAGTGCCAGGCAATAATATAGGAGACACAGAAATAGAATTACAGTTTTAAAAGCCGCCGAGAGTTTAAAAAAAACGATCTTTGGTATTTATTAGTGTAAGATAGGATAG